AACCGTCTCCATCCATATGAATAATAGTCTCTTCTGGAGTCTGGCAATATTGCTGGAAAGCATCAAAGTTTGTAATTTGCACAGCACCAGATGCATGGGCAGTAGGCTGTTATGTTGCATCAGGAGCAACGGGTCGTCCAGTAGCCACACTGGCTTTGCAACTAGCAGTAACAGGATTAGTGGAAACAATGATCTTTCTGCATCAGGGTTGCCAGTACTCTCTCCAGTACAGCATGAACAAAATTACATTTGTGGGAATCCATAAACGCCAAGATTCGGCAAAGGTACCATTAACACGTCTGATACTTATGTGAGGGAATTCGGAAACCGTGCCAGAAATATACATTTATAGATTGAATTTCTGGCTGAGGCGATCAGGCTGATCAGTTTTCTAGAACTTGTTCGGGCTATTTTTATACGGCCTACTTTTCCCCCAGATATGACACGTCAGGAACATATCGCTGGACTCAAGTGACTGATTTTATTGGCAACTGAAATAAGGCCTAACTCAGACAGTTACCATGTAGTATATGCGATGATATGCATTGGATTTTGGTAAAGTAAACATGATTGAACTAGTAAAATTTGCAGTTTAACTTATCTATCTCGCACTTTAATTGGAATCTTAATCCCAAACCAGAAGGTAACTATTAACTCATTCATTAATCCACACATCTACCTTCTTCGTAATGTTTTCCAAGTTTACAAATGCATGAATTCGATACAAGTAATAATTCTCACAATTCAGCAACTAATATATCAGCCTAGAATTATTAAGTACGTACTTGATTTAGATCGTCACACTTGTTTACGTTTTGCGCGTGTGCGCAGTGACTGGTTGACAAGAACCGGTCGCTCGCACCTGGAGATAAAATAACGGCGTTATTTGCTGTTATAGTTAATACACCTGTATGTGTTCCTTTCAATAAAACAACTTGCAAGCAATGTTGCCAAAGCAGATCGCGAGCTACTGTCGATCAGACAATCGCATGCTTGTTTGTCAAAAATGTAAACAAATGACGTCATGGCCGTTATCGTTCAACAGTAGAATGTGTTAGGGACAACATCAAAAGTTCAATGTAGGATAAAAAACTTAATTCCTTTAGTTTTTCCCCAACCCCCCTACCCCCACTGAAACTTAATTGATAAATATTGATCACGTCCTCAGACTACATTCACCATTAAATACAAATTGATAATCGGACAGTAGTATGGCATAGCAGTTGGTTCTAGGTCCGTGCCCTGAAATTGACCTCATTGGACGCACATATTTACACTCGGATCAAACCATTTTCTCGTCTTGGATGTTTTTTTTTTATTTTCTGTTATTTTTTCCCATGATTGGATAGAAAAAAACGAACTACAAATACTCCATGATTTTTTTGACTTCATTAAAAAATAAAATCATTTTTGTAGGATGGAAACTTTTTGAGGTCAACCCCCCCAAAACTAAAGCAAATAAGTTTTTTATCCGACATCGATCTTTTGACGTCGTCCCTTACCACACATTGCAAATTTACTCCTAGACTGGCG